TACATGGTGGTGTATTGTCACATAGAACCGTGGAGGTATTTTCTGTGATCACCTCTCCAGAGGATCATAACCTTCATATACTCTGAAAGGTATGAAATAGGTACTGGCCTTATCAAGTAAACATTTTAAGGGTGTGTTCTCATAAATACATAAGTAGACTGGAGGACAGGCATCAATAGAACAGTTCATTCAGTTTTGGGGATAAACGTTCTAGTCACCAGTGGTTAATATTGCTGAAGATCTACTTCACAAATGGTGAGAAGAAGGAAGGGTGCAGGAGAGAGTTCTGCTCTGCATTCTAGACACAACCAACTGGGTCCATTTCCCTTTCAACCCTGAACAGTCCCCCAAAGTTCCCAGTCTAGACACTGATGGTCAGTTAGTGTCTGACTGCAGCAAGAATGAAACAATTGAATGGCCTGGCTGTCCACCAACCTGTCCATCTTCCTTGTCATTTCTCCTCAGCACCCCTTCATGCCACGGTTGGAAATCCTCATATTTTAATCTGAAAAGATAGTAATAAACTCATTTGAAATAAATAAAACATACTGATAATTTCCCATATGAGTGTAATTTGTGAATGTAAGTGAAGTTCACTGTGTTTTTTGAGAATAAATGAAAGTAAAATGGTTGACTTTCCTAAAAGACAAAGTTTTTGTTCCCCTTCTGTTGTGTTACAATGGTAATTAAAACTATTTTGAGATTGTCATTTATATTAAGGAAAGAGGATTATCAAGCTTATAAGAGATGATTTTCATTATTTACATTTTCAAGGCAGATTGTCCCTTAACACAAATATTGGAATTAGAGGTTTCCAGTTTAAACATTTCATATTATATATATGCATATACATATATATATATATATAATTGTGTATTAATATATATGTGATTAGATGTCTTGAGGGTGAAAAGCAAATGGAAATACAGATGTTTCATATATTTGAGACATATGTATGTATGTGAATCCTGAAATGAATGTTACATGCTATGCTTGCATTTTGTCAGAGCATGTTCCATTATATGGAGTGGGCCTTCTTTCACGGGAGTATCATGTTAGTCTTCAGATGTCTTGGATTTGAGAAAATTTACATGTAGGATTTTTGAACCAGAGGTTGTACTTTTGACATAGTGTTCTCTGAATCTGAGAGAAAGCAAATCATTATCTTCAATTATGTAGCCACCTATTAACTCACTAGTCTCCAATGGAGAGTTCCATGCCCAGGTTCACACAAAAAGTGCCCCAGGTAAAACACAGTCAATCATTAAAAAAATACAAAAAAGTATGGGTGTGGGAAGCAGAGTGGTCCAGAGATAGAAGGGAAAGAAGATAGAGTAATAGAAAATAATCAGAACACATTGAATACGCATGTGAAATTATCAAAGAACAAGCTCCATATAAAAAGAGCAAAGAAAGAAGGAAAATCAATGCTCCCAAGACAGTTGTTTCTCAAGAACACTTTTGATAGCATCAGAAGGCTTGATAGGAAGACATATTTGTAACCATTTGACTAGGTTATTGAAGAACAGAATCCTCTTTGTGGTTAGTTGTATGAGAAACACATCGTGGGTTTACTAAAGGAGCAGTTGTACTGAGCTCAGACTCTCCTGAGCAATTGCTCACATGACTTACCAGGACAGGGAGAGGGACAATAGAATATGGATTTTATTAAGTTAGGCAACATTTCTATATTGTTTATTTGGAAAAGATCATTAAATGTAATTATTTAAGTAAAATATAAAACATTTAACTAATTTTCTTGGTATTGAAGTTATGGAAATAAACAAGCAGAAAAGTTTAGCACTTAACTAAATAGAGGGGAGAAATATTGAAGCACATGATTTTCTAAAAATGCCATGTCTTTAAAATACACAGTATGGTCATTCTAAACACTCACCAATCAGAAAAAAAAAGACCAGACTATGGCTATTCTTGGCCATCGAAAAGTGTGAACCTCATAACTTCCTTCAGCACAGGCTTTGCTGAGGCGCATCTACCATGGCATGAGCCCTGCCTGCGTGATAGAAATGGATGAGTCCTCCTCTGCTCTGGAGCAGGAAGAACAAGGTCTTACCACAAGTAATTCCAACTACAGTGAAAAGCAAACTAACAGATTGCCCCGATTCTCTCTCTAGGCGTAAGAGAAACTTTAAGATAAAATATATCATCCCACTGAGTTATCTGTGGATGGGTGACTATGTGGACATAGTTGGGACAGACAACAGCTCTGCTGCAAGTCGATTCTCCTGTCCTGGCCCGTGGGAAATTTTGTGGCTACCTTTCGGTAAGACCTACAGCTTGGACTTGTGTTCACAAGAGGCTGGCTGTGGAAATTGTGGGTCAACTTAATGCTGTTCAATTCACAGGGAAAAAACCAAATCAATGAACCAACATGTTTACAGATTAACAAACCATGATATCTGATTGTATACAGGCTGCCAACTCAAGTTTTTTCCTCCCATGATGACCCTAGTTTATACTTTCCACCACACACATTTCTTCATGGAACTAGACTCCTTAGATTTTCACCTGTGATGTTCATCAGGACTCCACATCATCCTTGGTGTAGAAATGAGATCATCCTGTTCTTTGAAGGATATGGATAGGACAAGGCCTTACTCCATTCCCCACATTCTCCTTCCCCAAATGATCTGGTATTCTCTGGGTTTTGAAGGTACACAAATTGATCTCACTCCAATGGTATTGTGTAGTATAAATTTGAAAATTACCTCCTACACTACCAAGTTAATTTCCTAAAAAAATATAGTATTTAACCATACAGATAAACCTAGTTACTCATTAAAAGCTCAGGTTCTTGAGTGTTTATGTAGTGGAATATCATTGGTGTCTACAGTCAACACATGAGGACCAGTGTCATTAGACCATCAGAGTCAGAGTTAATTTGTGGAGTGCAGGTAAATGTCAAATTCACATTCTTATCTTTCATGAGAGGATCTGATCATGGTCTACCAAGAATACCTTGAGTGCATTCATTGGAATCACAGGGACAGTGTAGCACACACCTGCTGTGGGAAAGCATACAGCAGCATTCATCTTTCTTTTCCACATGAAGAGTTCATCATACACAACCCCCCAATTTGGACTCTCCTCATTCCTCTGTCCAAACTTCTAGCCTCATTCCAGAGTTTACTCAACTAACATAAACACTTGCAGGTTTTATAAACTTTCTAGGTTCTGTGAGTTTGCTCTTTACCCGAGAAAAACATTTCCACAGAAATCATTGAGGAAGATCATCTTTGTGTCATTCTCTAAATACACTCTTTTCCCTTGTTAATATTCCTGAAGATTATCTATAGTTAATGCTTAGTGTTTCTCCTACATTGAATATGAGAGGATTGTATTTGGGGATTTATGAAGAGTTTCATGACAGCATTTCCATTAAACTTTTCTTTTTATGAAGGAGTGAAATTTGGAAGTCATATTTAGACTAGTTCACATTCAATTGAATATGTATCAGTGTCTTCAACCGTGCCTATCACTGAGTGAAACTCACGGCATAAGGACATCCTTTCATGGAACTTCAGTTTAGAATCCACCTTTAGAAACTGAACATTGCTTTGTGAGTGTGTGTGTGTGTGTGTGTGTGTGTGTGTGTGTGTGTGTGAGAGAGAGAGAGAGAGAGAGAGAGAGAGAGAGAGAGAGAGAGAGAGAGAGAATCACATGTGTGGTCTTTAAAATAAGTCTTATGACTTCATACATACTAGACAGTTGTTCTGTCATTGAGTTACACCCATGTCTATTAATATACTTGTTTGTTTTTCTGATTTGTTTTTCTAATTTTTCTATTTTTGTTCCCATTCCACTGCTGGATTCACTGAAGATCAGCAATTTAGCTATTTTGTAGAATGCTGAGCATTGAAACCTTTCCTACTATAAAAACAGGATGGAATCTAGCTGAAAGGATAGCCACCTTTCTGACTTTTATATAAAACACATTTAGAGTCAATATTCTAACATATCACTGTTGAAATTGAACTGGAGTAACCAAGGTATGTCTGATGAAGATAGTTTAGATCATGCAGCAATTGGTTCTGCATAGCAGGTCCCCATCATACACAACAGTGCTTAAGGAGAAGTGTTGTATAAAAGTAATTTCTAGCCTGTAATGTAAATCATGAGAACACTCTAGCTGGCTTTGCTGAACCAGATGTGTCTTCAGGGCAGAGCAGAGCAAAATGACCAGTAGGGAAATGTTCTCTTGCCCCTGCTTGCTTGATTTCAGCCATGGCAAATGTTCAGTATTGTACACGAGAAATCTCCCTGATACCTTAAAACACCATTGCAAATGAGACCTAATTCTTTTAAAATAAAATTATCTACCAATTTTCATCCAAGATTCTATTGCTTTTATATTTTATCCTGCAATATTTTATCCAGTACCCTTTTGTGCAGTGCAGGATATTGGCTATAGATATGTTTCAGTTTTCTTCATGTAATAATGTGTTTATCTCCCTCTTATTCTTAAAGAGATATTCTCAGAACATAGAACATTCTTTTGATTTTTTTGGTTCTTAAATATCATCCATCATTTTTCTTTCTCCATGTTTTCCAGTCAGCAGTGATCCTTCATATATATTTTTATCTACTTCTTTGCAGGTTTTCTTTGATTTTCTATGTATAATTTGGCCTTTTGAGGTTTGATAGTTCTTGGAATCATCTGTGTATTTCATTTCACTTAAAATAAACCTGTAATTTTTTCTTTGTACAAATTAGGCAAAGTTTTTTTTTTAGCTGTTCTTACTTTAGGACTATTTTTGCCTCCTAATTTTCACATTAAAATTCTTAGAATTGGGGGGCGGGCGGCACTGCGGGCCCGCGGCTCGGGCGGCTCCGGCTCGGGCTCGCGCTCCGTCGCTGCCGGCGCCCTCGGGGCTGTGTCGCCGCCCGGCTTGGCCCCGCTCACAGGGCCGTGCGGCTCGATCAGCTGCCGCCCCGCCGCCGGCACCCAGGGCGCTGGCGCGGCCGTGAGCCGGCGGGGCCGCGGGGTCGGGGCGCGGCGCGCGGGCGCAGGTCTATGTCGCGGGCAGCGGCGGCGGCGGCGGCCGCGCAGGGACGATGCGCGAGTACAAAGTGGTGGTGCTGGGCTCGGGCGGGGTAGGCAAATCCGCCCTGACCGTGCAGTTCGTGACCGGCACCTTCATCGAGAAATACGACCCCACCATAGAGGACTTCTACCGCAAGGAGATCGAGGTGGACTCGTCGCCGTCGGTGCTGGAGATCCTGGACACGGCGGGCACCGAGCAGTTCGCGTCCATGCGGGACCTGTACATCAAGAACGGCCAGGGCTTCATCCTGGTCTACAGCCTGGTCAACCAGCAGAGCTTCCAGGACATCAAGCCCATGCGGGACCAGATCATCCGCGTGAAGCGGTATGAGAAGGTGCCAGTCATCCTGGTGGGAAACAAGGTGGACCTGGAGAGTGAGAGAGAAGTGTCCTCTAATGAAGGCCGCGCCTTGGCCGAAGAGTGGGGCTGCCCCTTTATGGAGACTTCTGCTAAGAGTAAAACCATGGTGGACGAACTCTTTGCAGAAATTGTGAGGCAGATGAACTATGCCGCTCAGCCTGACAAGGACGACCCGTGCTGTTCTGCCTGTAACATACAATAGCATCGAACATGGCTGTCCTGGACAGGACTTGTCTGGACTCGTAGGCACCAGCAACCTGTCTACCCCATCGCGGTTTGTAGGATGGGTGGTGTGAATCCACAGTGCACCGCAGCCCTCAGGCTGGATGGTCAGTTGATGCCTCTGAGTCCCTGTGGGTCCAGTGACTGCAGTCTCCACCACTGTCCTGAGTCTTCTGTGCATCTGCAACCTGAAGGCACACCGCTGAGCTACAGGGTGATCTCATTTGAAGTGATGATGGTACTGCCACTGAGTTGGCAGACGCCACTGTTGTGTTAATTAAAAATAATCAGGAGAGAAAAACCAGAGGAATTCCTATAACCACTAACAATTAAAATATTTTGTTGTCTTTAAAAAAAAAAGGTAAAGGAGAAATATTTTCCTACAAGCGTGCTGAAGTCGTGAGTTGATGGGCCTTCCAGCCAGTGTACCCCACCAGGTGAACAGCTGCCTGCCAACAGCCCTGCAGGGAGAGTCTGCTCAGCTGACACACTTCTGTTGTTCAAACTGATGCTTAATTGTAGGTGTTTTCCTAATTTGTGACATGAAATCCACTTACCTATCAATCCTCGGTAGAGTAAAAGTCAGAACAAGGCTGTATGAAATCCAGTCTGGCTTTAGAAATTGTTGAATCACCTGCTTTGCCACAGGAAATAGCCTCTATGAGGGCTCATGAGAGTTGAAAGCGCACACCCACCCTCTCTTAACGGAGCAGGGATGTCTATGTACTGAGCAAAAAGGAAGCAACTGAGATGGAGAGGTTGCCTAGCCTTACTAACGAGTCGATTAACCAGAACCATCGTGGAAGGAAAATGAAGCCATGTTACATCCACACGTTCCCGTTTGCAGACACCTCACAGAACAGTACAAATATTTGACATTGTGTGTGTGTGTTCATGAAAGCAGCCTTTAAGGGCTATGGTTGCAATGTGACCCTTGGCTCACCTGCTTTGGAAATCCAATTTGCTGTAACAGAGCTTTATTGTAGGCATAAAACAAAACAAAAACAGATTGAATAATCTGTGAAGTAATTTGGGCTTAAAAGTAGAATATATAGCCCGGCGGTGGTGGCGCACGCCTTTAATCCCAGCACTCGGGAGGCAGAGCCAGGCGGATCTCTGTGAGTTCGAGGCCAGCCTGGACTACCAAGTGAGTTCCAGGAAAGGCGCAAAGCTACACAGAGAAACCCTGTCTCGAAAAACCAAAAAAAAAAAAAAAAAAAAAAAAAAAAGTAGAATATAAATTACTATAGAGTGGAATGGAAGGGGACAAGACCTTTTCATCTCCCTTCCCTGGAGGATCGTGGAAGGGTTTCTTGTACCTGTTCTGCCCTGATTACTGAAGTGGCACATACATCTAGACTGAAGCTTTTGTTCTGAAAGGGTGCTGAAGCTCAGCATTTTTGGTTTCCATAGCCGTGGAGTGTTTATCATTTGCATGAGTAATGGCACAGGAAAAAATCTATTCAGGAGTTTCACGATCAATGTAGAAGAGTTCTCGCCTCACTTGAGGAGAGATAAGTGCTGGCGAACACCTGAGCCCGCCTCTGGAGATCATTAGGCCTTCCGACTCAGTGCTGCTGAGCCTGGACATACTTGGCACCCACACCTTCCTGGTTCCACAGTCTTGTGCAAGTAACCGCCTAGTCTTATGTGTGTAACTGAGAGAAGAGTGTGTGTTTGTGTGTGCATGTGTGTTTATTCCTAAGAATTTGGCACAATTCAGAGATCATTGCCTCTACTGAGAATCTATACTACAGAACATAATGTATAAGAAAGCGTTTTTAAATTATTAGTCTCTTATAAGCCATTGAACCCCCACCCCCACCCCCCCACCCCCACCCCCCGCAAGTGTTTTAGTAACTGGCTTTAAGCTTAGAAGATAGAGAAAAAAAAAGGTCAGTGGTGTTTGTCATATGTGAGAAAAACAAATAAATAAACAAGTAACGTGGGTGAAACCAGGTCATGGTGTTAGGGAGTCTGAATGTTTTTATCTTCACTGTCATTTTCTCCAGTTAGGAGGCACTGCATTCATAGGGCAAAAAGTTCTAACCAGTTTTCTTGGAACAAAGTTCATCATATGAAAGCTATTTGACTCAGACATACGGAGAAATCAGATTCAAGGAGTATGTTTTATCTACTGAAATAGAAATGGTAGTGCATTGGCCTGAGGCCTCTAACTTGTGAGACTAGTTCTGATTGTTAAACTCCCATAATGAATAGCAGTTTATGATATTGCGTATTCGAAGCAGCTATACCGGTTCACAGTTTCACATCATGGATGACCATGCAGACAGGAAAAGGGTAACGTGTGAGAAGCCTGGCAAGGTGTGAGGTGGAAGTGTTTGTCGTACACTCAGGCAGGCTTTCCTGAGAGGCGTTCCTAAGGCCGGGTGTTTGCACCCTTCCTTCATAGTGCCCAGGCATCACTTCCCCAACACAGACTCTGCCGTGCCCTCTCTCTGTTGACTGCTGTGCATGATGTTTGCCAAGATGGGAATCAGAGCCCAAGGACAGGACCACGACACTCACTGGCGTGTGGAACAGCAGGCCGCAGAGGAGAACTAGTGGCTCCACCTGCCATTTCTTCAAAGCCCTGATCCACCTAGGAACTAAATAAATGAAAGTTTGTTCTCACATGCCTTAAGAATATTATGGTTTGACCCAAAGACCCACTTTTTCTTTAGCTATTACCAAGTTTTCTTTGATTTTTTTCTTAAACATTTATCAAAAGGCAGGTTTTTTTTTTTTTCAGATTTATTTCTTTTAAAGTGTAACTTGTGGGTTCTTTTACGCTGTGATAGTGATGGTAACTGATGCTTTTCCACCGTGAGCTTTCGTGAGACAAGCCAGCATGTGCTGGGGAGCCTTCTGGGTCTTTCCTCCACCACTGAAAGGTGCTCTGATGCTCCCACCCTTTGCTTTGTAGAGTTGGGGTCTGACCCGATCACTGCAGCTGCCGTCACTCTCTGTGCTAAAACTACTGATGCTTGCGTCCGCGTGTCGCCCAAGGGCGTCTGCTCTGTGCTTTCCAGTGTGAGTGTTGCTGGTGAATGTGAAGCTGCTTTGTCTGCTGCTTGTGGGTTTGTTTGGTTTCCCAGTTCTCCATCAGTAGCCCCCTGTTAGCACTGGTTAAGCTTTAATTGTCTCCTCAGCCAATCAGATGTTAAAGACTGTGGGGTCCTTCTGTTTAACTTGTCCTTGTGCATCCGTTAATCCTCCATCAGGGTTTCTAGAATGGCTGCAGGAGATTTTGAAAACAGACTTACCATTATTGATTTGGGGGTTCCCAGAGATACAGTTCACAGTTAATTGTTGAACTCTAATACAACTGACCATTTAAAATTGAACAACAGTTTATTGTTTTGTAACAATGTCGAGTAAGCCCCAACATTTCAATTGAAACATGAATTGTAGTTATAACTCAATGCAAATTCAACAGTTGTATTTGGAGTTAAATTATTTTAACAAATAAATTTATTTAATGAAAAAAAAATTCTTAGAATTGAACATAGATCCATCCCTCAGACTGTTTATACATTTAAACACATGGATGCAGATGATTTCTGGAATTATCTTCTATAATTTCATACAAGTATACAAATCCATTGCCAACTCACCTGCACCACTCCCAAGATACCCTAGATATCATTCATTCTCTCTCTCTCTCTCTCTCTCTCTCTCTCTCTCTCTCTCTCTCTCTCTCTCCCCTATTGACTTCAATTGCATATGTAGATAATATTGACTTTTTAAACTTAATCTTGTGTAGATAATAATTAACTGTGCTGTCCTCATGAGTCAATGGCTATGCTATGGCTGGAAGAAAGCATTTCACTGCATGCCTATATGATTTTAAATAATATGTTTTGAAATTCATGCCTTGTTAGTTAGATAACAATCATACCATTTTACCTGATCATTATTTTTATTTAGTTTTATTAATGTATAATTTCATTATTATTATACTTTCTATGTCTATATGAGGCTATAGTTATTTTTAACATTAGACATAATTCCATTATATCATTAAGCATAATTATAAAAACTTATTATTCCTCATAGTTTCAACATGTGAGCTATTGTGAGGTTGGCCTTCACTCTTGAGAATTATTTACATATCCCTGGTTCTTTATGTGTCAAGTAATATTTTAACATATACAGGAAAACTGTTATATTTTAATTTTTATTCTCCAATAAACCTTATTTTCAGAAATAGTTTCTTTATAGACTCTGTCTCTTTAAATGTTTCTGTTTTATGAACAAAATCACCATCAGGAAGGAATGTACACATCCCTGCAATCATTATTTAGATCTTAATATGTTCCAAATGCTATTAAAATCCAATATCTTACAATGATGTGAACTAAAACACTATTAGCCCATCACACAAATTTTTTTCTGTAAAAAATACTTTACTGTTCTAAAATTATTGAGAAGAGTTTTCACACATTCAACAAAATATTAGAAGCTTTCCTTATTGTTAAAGATATTACCCTCTCTCTATATATAGATATAAACATATCTATCTATATATATATACACACACACATAATATATATATATATATATATCTTGTGTGTGTGAGTGAATGTGTGTGTGTGTGTATGTGTGTGAGTGGTGTTCTAGTGTGTGCATGTGTGTCAAAGTGTCGATGTTGAGTTTAAAAGAAAAATGCAACATAAGGAATAAAAGGTGATTCAGTCAGGAAGGCTCCATAAGTCTGAACAGAATATTTCTAATTCAATGAGGTCATATAGAGATGTGAACTGACTATATTTATATATAGTGCCCCTTTCCAAGCAAGAAATGACACTACACATCCTTACCTCATCAGAGCATCCCAGGGAGGCTCTTGATGCTCAGTGTGTACAGTCTACTTGGTCGAGAGCACAAGGAGAAATCCAATATAACAGTGCATGCTAAAGCACATTGGCAGGTTTGCTCACATTCATTACCCTCAGTTTTAACTCACATTCGTATTTTCTTCTCATAGAGCATGAGCATCCCTAAGACATCATAATAAACATTCAAAGTATCATCAGTCAACGACGATGAAAATCAAGAAAGTGCACAGCTTTTCCTGCCCTGCCTGGGCTGTATGTGGAACAACCAGATCTACAGGGGCGATTCATCCTAAAGCCCAGAGATCCAGCAAGAAGCCAGAAGCATAGCAGTGAGTCCATGACCTTCCTTCAAGTGGCCTTTCTCAATTCCAGTTTCTGTTCTGCATACAATATCAATGCACAGTGTCATTTCTTGCTTGGAAAGGGGCACTATAAGGAACAAAATCAAAAACCAAACAACATGCCCCAGGCCAGACTTGAGAGAATTCTAAGTGCTGCAAGACTCAGCTTGTCCGTAGGGAGAACATTTCACTCTTCC